CGTGGGTAATTTCCTCGTAAGGAATCCATGTAAGTCTTAATTCATATTCACTTTTGGAGGATTGAATCAAGTTGCCAATTGCTGGATTAGGAACCCCTGGAACTAATGACATTGCTTGAATAAGGTACAATCACAGAGAGAGCATTCTCACTCCTTGGCCTTTCTCATCAACCATATTTAGTAGTAGGTATTTTCCAAATTTGGCGATAGATTGGGGGAGGTAATTTACGCTAAGCTATCCTACCAAATTTAGTAACTTAAACGTTACCAAATCTGGTAGGGGGGGTACATTATTCAAGGCTGAGAATCGATGAGAAGTAGCTTGAAAGTGAATCCTTTCTTTTTTCAATCCAAAACTGGCTGGGTAGCTGGACTAAGCCCTTCTAGTTGAACGTCCTTCCCTTTTACTTTCGATCCGTAAAGTCTCAATTTCGACAGTCGGCACTTGTTATTGTAGAAGCATATAGTCATTATCAATATGCTAAATGGTGTTTGACCAGCAGAGGCATCATAAAAACTCTTTCGTGACATTTGTTAATGGAGAAGCAACGGTTTCATATTTCAGGCCAAGTAAATTTCGAATATAACCTTCCCATAACGCCAGATTCAACGCATCCGCATTTTCACCAACGAGCGAAGCCCAAATTTTATTTAAAATAAAAGGGCTGTCATGAATCCTACTATACATACCATGGCATAATAGATTTTATTCGTTTTAGTAGCAATCCATGCTGATATCCCCTTCGCCATCAACCATAACACTCGAATCAACAAATTCTAATGCCTCTTGATACAAGTGTTCCACATCTATAGTTGCTGCTAGTCTACTAAAATCAACATTATTTATCATATGATAGAAAGTGTAATGCTTGTGGATTAAATTATTGCTGTCAGTAGGACGCTTTGACGGAACAAGCTCATTGGTTTGAGAACTGTATGTTGCCACAATGGGCTCGAGATAACTTTTCAGTATATTAAGAACTTTCAGTATTTCTTTTCGCACCAACCGACTCGAGTCGTCAGCCTGGTATGACGGTATTCTTTTGTTTAAAGAATGAATACATTATGGTGAATTTACAAAGAATACATACTTACCGCAGACACAAGCAACAAATCCCCTTTTAACCAATAAAACCACGATTCTTCTTCTCCTTCATCAATCAACATACTTTCATCTTTTTCCTGGTCTCCCCTAAATTTCTTATTAATCTTCATTCTGTCAAATTCACAGTGATCCCAGATAACGTGGAGAAACTGAATTACACGGATCCTGACTTCAAAATCAGGATCGTTCATCAGCTTTGACATTTTTTCGGGGCTTGAGAAAAGAGATAGTTAACAAATGGCAGACGGATAAAAGCATTCAGATCAATCGATTCAACCTATAGTAATATGCTTACTTCATTATCTCTTTATTGTGATCCGACAGAATGATCATTTTGCACTGTCTCTCAATTATAAGCGAGATCAATAAGTCCATCACTGCCCTCCGTACAAAAGTTTCTGTGTCGTCCAAAATTTTCGGAAGCATGGATGCAATCTTATATTGCAGTTTATTAGATGTCAAGTAGTTCCATCCAAGCGTAGAGCGAATCAATGCCTGAACAAAGCGTACGACAAATTATGAATCAAATGAACCAAAACAGCCAAAATATTTATACGACAATTAATGCTCAGACGCTCACTTGAATGACGCTCAAAGAGGAGGCTCTTACGTATGATTCTGGGTCGCTTAGCATGATCAACACTTCATCAATTAACTCGGACATTAGCGACAACGAGCAGCCTTCACCCTATCCGGTATGTCAATTTAACAAGCCCAACAATAACCAATGTTTTAGTATGGAATCTTATTCAATTGCTTTTCGTAAATTTTGTACTTCTCACCATTATCAATTGCCTTAAAAACTCAAGACATGAGTCACGCACATCCCAACGAGTGTCCTTACATCTATCTCGCACACATGCAACAAGTTCAATTGCATATGAAGAATTGGTTAGATATTCGCGTACGTTAGGGTTTCCTATTATAGTTGCTATTGTCTCAAGCACGGATGATATTCCACGTGGCTCCGATGATGGATCGGTCAGTATTTCAAGAAGTATGCGAATCACCTAGAGAATCAGAACTAGTGTAAATACAATTACGATTAGTTAACTAACGATTAGGAAAATACCTTGTCTGTAATGGTCTTATAATCAATTCCATCGTTATTTGCCGAGAGTACAATCGAAATCACGCCGAGTCCAGCTTTGAGTACCCGATGATCAGTGTTATATGAAGACTTTGAGATAATCACAAGTATATTTGAAAAGCAATTGTCCGTCTATTGTGACAATGCGTTAGATACTGTAAGAGCATTAACAATAATCGTAACAAGTAAATTATTGTTAGCCATACCAAAACTCTATCACTGAAATCAAGGGCAACCACCCGAATAGCATTGAGCAGGCTGATAACTAAAGTCTTTCTGTAAGCAGCAGAACGCTTCCCAGTATTTAATAAACCGACAAGCTACAAAAGAGTCTATCCATATTAGTCACAATATCGATAAATACGAATAAATAATATGAATAATGAAATAACATCAACTAATGCATTAAATAACAATTGTGAAATCTACCTTATTCACAGTTGTTTCCGAACTGATTATATCCACAAACTCATCCTTACAACTAGATCCATTTCTCTGCCCGGCCAAGACAAGATCAAGTATAAAGTTCAAAATGTTTAACAGTTTCAAAACGTAAGTTTGGCTGTTTGCCGAATCTTTTAAGATTAATTTATTCAGCGAAACAAGCACTTCTACAGAAGTGGTCACCGAGTCCAGATTATCAGCTTGTGTTATCAATGGTAAAGCAATATCGCCTACAACAAACCTAAATGCTATATGATGATTAAATTCTTGCACATTGCTTGACATGAGCATTAACTATTAATAGCATAACCTACTTCGACCAACAACGCTGTCGTTAGATTCACCACTTATACTGCTCTCATCTTTCAGAAGCAGGAGAGGATCAGGCACCCATTCGAGTATAACAGATAGGATCTCTACTACTCGTGCCCGAATTATCCTATTAGGATCCCTTAGTAATTTATTAATGTGCAACAGCTGTAACATTTTAAACAAAGGTTAATAGCTAATCGCTAATATTTAATAACAAATAATCAGATATAATAACACCTTACATGACCACAGCGCCTCAAAAACTCTACACTGTTTAGTCTTCTCGAGCTTGCCAAACTCCAAACTAATTCCAATGCTGCTAAACGACGATCATTGTGTATCGTGCTGTCAAACAACATCAAGTCTAGGTGATGAAATAGATCCAGAGATACCACAAGATGTTCTAGTAATTTGTCTTGAGCATTAGACGGGGGACAAGATGTAAGGAAGGATCGAGAATTGGCGATAATTGATAGCAGCACTTTTGTTGTCGCTTTTACAACCTAAGATAAATAACGTTTAGTTATTGAAAGACAATAATGAATACACCTCAGATTACTTACATAAGTGCTATCATCTTCGAAGGAAGACGCTATAATCCGAGAACTTTCCCCCGAGTCTAGAAACCTAATTTAAAGTCAGTTCGATTTAAAACAGTTGAGTTGTCGCATCAATCTCATCGATTACTTATATGAAGGACCTTTATCTCGTTACCAAACTCACCATTCCGCGCCCTCCTCGTAAGTCACAATTTGCTCCAAAGCTTCAACACACGATAGCCGTACCAATGCTTCCTTGGCAAAAATGTTAATAATTATATAATCCAGTATTCCTCTCTGCGTCTCACTCAGCTTTCCGTACAGCCTCGCTTGCTGTCTATCATCGTTGGCAAGCAATCTGGCGAGAAACTTTATGACTAATGCGATAATTCTATAATCTTGCTCGGCTTGAAAGATCACATCCTAATATTTGGGTTTAATACGTTTTTCCCCTCAGTAAATGCACATCCTGATATGATGGTTAGAATGAGACTTACCATACATGTATGATATCTAATACGTTCCAAGTAATAAAGACAGAGATCATATTGGGTCCTTTGACGGCATAGTCAGACAGATACGAAAGAACTTTTTCATGAATCGTATCGTCTACAAGCGTTTTAGACATTTGTGGGAGAGCAGTGAGAATTTTATGGAGCTTTTCCATTTTCCCTTGATGTTGAGAAAATTAAAAATAAAAATGTTATGTGATCGACCAGATTTTAAGCTTTTTCCTGTCAACTGTTGCTGCGGAAAACAAACGAAGGGTAAACGTCACCAATTCACCTTGCTATATACGCTACGTATATAGGACGAGAATGCAATTAATTAAGCGCTTGATTAATACAATAGTAACGATAGTTTATTATAGGTTTATGTATACTGTCATTCAAACATTACAAAGAAAAGAAAGCGGCAAGAGAGGAGAACAACTTTGACTAAATAAGAATGCTGGCAAAACGGAATCTCTTCACATAGTCTATCATATAATAAAGCAAACTCCCCTGTTTCTAGACACCCTTCCTAAACATATAAACTGCACAACCGAAATGGTTTACGTCTGCCAGCTAACACTTGGTTCTTCTGTCAACACCGCGTCAAGTATTTGTACCCTATTTTAGGTACACACAAGCCCTTGCGACCACATATCGATATACAAGTACATTACCCCATGATTGATATTAGATACACATTGGTTGCATGCATGTTGCATATTAACCATAATAACAACACTTTAACTTTTTTCAGCAATCTATTCAGGTCTACGTACTTGCATGTAAATATTAATACAACTTAAATTTATTGTGCTATCTTACTGGAAATGTACTGTATTTTAAAAAATGCCTTTAACGATCGATCGTAGGTGTAACTATTAAAGATTATAATTGTGGAACTCGTACAGAATGGACCTTCAACGATCAGTAAGTGTAACTAACCAAGATCGTAATTTGAAACTTTCGGTTGGGGAAGGCCGCATCCGTTTTATCTTTTGATCTCTCACATCTCGGAAATGTCGCAGCAGAAGCAAACGAAGACTGAACAAGGATTCTACAACACGGTTTTCGGTTCGGTAATACTATGTACATTACAGATGTGTACTGCAGTTATAGATGCTTGTTGCTAATATTTTTGATCTCTGTTCATTAGATAGCTGGGATGGTAGGAAAGCTTGTGGAATATCCTTTTGATACTGTAAAAGTAAGACTACAAGCTCAACCACTGGACAAGCCAACGTTCGATGGACCGCTAGATTGTTTTAAAAAAACTATCAAACGGGAGGGTTTGGAGGGCCTATACAGGGTAAGGTTTTTTGTTTTTTTTGTTATATGTAAATCTGCATTCTTAGCTTGTAATCGTTGCCGTAATATAGGGCTTATCCTCTCCTATGGTCGGGGCAATGTTAGAAAATGCAATGCTGTTTGTCACATATAAGCATATCCAGTCACTCATAAGAGAAAACATGACGATAGCCAACGAATCACAATTCTCCTACCATGTGGATGACTTGCCCCCTCTCCCGTTAGCGCAACACTGCATAGCCGGTGCTATATCGGGCGCATTGGCATCGTTAGTGCTTACACCAGTCGAACTTATCAAATGCAAATTACAAGTACACGAGACATTTACATATGAACCAGCGAATGCTACGATCGCTCCGAAGAATGTAACACATATAGGCAACCAAAAAGTCATATCAGCAAAATCAGCGGCTCTTCCCGAATACAGTGGTCCTTTATCAGTTATAAAATACACTTTAAAGGAACATGGAATTAAGGGTTTTTACACAGGACATTTGGGAACGCTTTTAAGAGAAACGTTTGGTGGAGCAGTATGGTTTGGTGCTTACGAGTATACATCAGGCTACTTTTTGATACAGAAGCAACAGGCGAGCAAGGATAGCCTTAGTACGGGGGAACTTATGTTTGCTGGGGCGATGGGAGGAATGTCATATAATTTATTAACATTTCCGGTGGATTCGATCAAAAGCCGAATGCAGACAGAAGAAGAATCGATGAAAGCAGCTGGGAAGGTTTTCGATAAACAGGGATCCATTCAAATTGCGAGACAAATGTACAAGGCTGACGGTATTAAAGCGTTCTATAAAGGTTGTGGGATGACTGTCGCTAGGAGTGCACCATCAAGCGCGTTAATATTTTTGACATATGTAAGTGCATCTCTGGTGATTGATTCACGCTTTAGTCTCATCCATCGACCAACAATTGTGAAATAACCAATTGATCTTCATCTGTTCTAGGAACTTTTATCACGCCATTTGGCGCCGAATAACTCCAAATAAATTAGAATCCTGGTTCATATTCCCTTCTAACGACTCTATAAATTTCACTACCTCAGCCCTCACAGGCTTCTACTGCTGCTTATATGATGTTGTTGTATCCACTCGTCATGACTTTTGACAAGCTCGGGCACAAATTTGCTTTCGATCTCGACTATATTCCGTATGTCTTCACCACTCAGTTTAAAAGTAGCCTCACTATCTTTAGTAATGAGTACGACTTCGGTTTTACGCGTTTGAAGAAGGTTACCGATAACAATTTGATGGCCGTAGCGCACAAGAGCTTGACGGGACTTCAATACAAGAATCGACGGATCGGTTTCCAGCTGTGTTAAGGAAGTTATCAAAAGATACATACTATGAGTGAGATAGAAATAGAATCTTGCATCTGCGAGATGACAATAAAATAATTACCTTGAACGAAACTATAAACCCTTGTGGTACCCAATTTGTGACCATCGGTTTTAGGAACTTTGGCACTTGGTCCATGGTCAGTGTTAATCCACCACCAGCAGATTGTATCTTATGCTCGACCTTGATTAAGAACAGTTATCTAATTTAACTATACAGAAATCTCGATCGAACGGTTTATATGTTAGTTACCATTCTCGTCATTGGGATAAAAAAATCACTAACGGCCGCTGCCAGATAGTACATAGCCGTCTCTTTCAAGCTTTCCATAATCCTGCAGACACTTCTCAGGAGAAAGAGATAGTCAACGACAGTAACGAAATCAAGTATAAGCAAGGTGCCTTCTTTCTTGACCTATAATACAGAAAGTTAAGCAACATAGTAACAAATATTCCTGTCTAATTAATACATTCGCACATTACAGGCAGGCATGCAGCAACACTAAGCGTTAGTTATCATTGTACTCACTTTTTGATATTTCTCAAGAATGCTCTTCATCTTGGGAACGTATTGGGGATATACTACGTAATATTTAAGCTTTCAAGTGATCTGTTCACTCCCTAATGTCGGAAAGCAAATACACATGCTCACCGCTTATAGATGCATCGTTATTTAATTCCAAGAAATCCAAAAAATCGTTAACGCTGTGGTAATGACGGCCATAAGGTTGAAGACTAAATTGTCTGTGCATGAATACCACTGCATAGCCTGCTTCTAGAAAATATGTATATTTTTTCTAGTTAAAGAATTCTCGATTACGTTAATGACGAGAAAAACGATCGAACTTCCTATAGGACTGCATAAGGATATTCAGCAGAAGTGGCCCCGCGGGTACCAGCACTGAAGTTATCAATGAAGCGAACTGTCTGGTTCTCTAGCGGTACTGTAGTCCCTCCGCTCTAAATTATAACACACGTTGGTAAGAAAGTTTGTATACAATCCGCCGCGAAGAATAAGATCAGGCGAGGTTCATTCAATACCAAGACACTCTTACGGTAATTAGTACAATTCTTCGTCCAGTTTTCCTATGGGTCGACACGAATTCTTGAACTCTGCGCTCGCTTTCCTCTAGGGATTTTGGTGGTTGGTGATTTTCAAAGTATGTGTCTGGATTTATAACTTCTCCATTCCCGTAATCTAAAAGACCTTTGTTCGACATTTTTCAATCAAAAATTCCTTCCCTCCGCATTATCCGTTAAAGCAGGGGACTATGCAGGAAATTTATCCAATCATTACAATGCGTGAAGCGTGACTATTACTGGAAAGCATTGCCTTATTAGGCACACTTTATTCCGTCCTCGAGTCTCGATAGTGAATGATATTTCTTGCAACGTGTATTTCCTTTCGATCAAGTTAAGCGTTACGTTACACGCGGAGTTAACGTTGAGAATGCTCTCTCCGTGGTTGTACTTGAAAACTTCTTATTCAAACAATGTCATTAGTTCCAGGGGTTAATAACCCAGCAATTGACAACTTGGTCCAATCCTCCTTGGAAAGTGATGTTAGATACTTCAGACTTGAATGGATTCCTTGCTCCGAAATTACCGACATAACGTCAAGTCCAATGGACAACGTCTAC